TTTGATCCGATGATCAAATCACGTACTTACACTCGATTTCTAAGATTCGAGAGAATGAATTCATATATGCTAATTAACGCAGACGATATTTTAATTTGCGAAATCAGACACAAAAATGTACTTTTTCTGAATAAACATACTTTTTTTTCCTACGGATTAGGATTCCTGACCCCCAAAATATAATATAGTTTGTCTAAAATAAGAACTCCCTCAGACATTCGTCTGCACCTGTGGCGGTGACTATGGTAACGAGGTGTGACTATTTCAAGTAGGGGTGTGGGGTCACTGATTTGGAGTGGTTTCGGCGAGAGAAAGAGAATCTCTTTCTTCGGTCTATTGTGTTCAGTCCTGGAGTAAAGCCACCCTCCCTAAAATGCGCCATTCTTGTTTCCATAGCACCAGACAACCTCAGATTTTGTGGCGAGAGGAGTTCTTAGCTTAGACAAACTATAATTTGGTCTTGAGAGCTGTGGAAAGTTTGTATACCTGAATTTTAATTTTACTTTTAGCGAATTTTGCCTTATTTCGGGAACTTTTTAAGCGAATTTAAAACTTTTTTTGTGAGTAATTATGAATTTTGTTTTATCTGAAGATAAATCTGCTCAAAAAGTAATTTTTAATTTGTCATTATTTTATTTAATAACAGTCGATGAAATTTTAAATTGTATGATACACAAAGTTTTGCGTTATTTTAAAGCATGTAATTTTATAATGCAAAATTTGAACGAAATCCGTCACCTGATTCTTGAGTAATCGAATTTTAAAGACATTAGATATTTTTAATTCGATTTCTCTGAAAATGTAATACTTATTCGATCCATTTCGTTCGAATTTTGTATTTTGCCATTAAAAATTAAATTCTTTAAAATGATTTAAAAATGTGTATACCTTGCAATTGAAAATGTTTCGAAAATTATTTAATTAAATCATAATTTTTTTTTTAAACGTAGTTAATAAATATATTTAAAAAAAAAATAGTTATTTTTAGCGTGGAATTATATGTTTAAGGTCATACCCTCAAACCTTTGTTGAGTCCTAATCCGTGAAAATTCTGTCATTAGATCAAAAGTTAATTGTGATGTTTCGTTTATATTTTTGTTCACTGTACTATTGAATTATCGTTAGTTTTCGTTGTTGTTATATATTTTTCATAAATTTTGGATATTGGCAAAAGGGAAAAAATATATTTCTTAATTTAATTTAAAAATTTTTTTTTCTGTGAAAGTACTATTCTTACAATCATATTTACTTGAATACTTATTGACTATAAATTTTTTAATTAATAAAGGTGAAAACTTAACGTTATAAAAGTTCAAATTTTTTGGGCAAATACCCTTAAAATCAGCTCAAAACACTCTTAAAATAGAAATAAACATCTTTCTATCCCCCCCCCCTTTTTTTTTTTAACCTTCCCTTTTTATTTTCAAACGTTCGAGATAGAAAATCTTGTTCAGATTGAAACAAGAATTTCAAACTGAATAACGAACCGAAATTGACGTGACATTTAAAAAAAAAATTAAAAATAAAATTGGGATGAATGAATAGTAATAAAAAAGCTGACCTGATATAAAATAAAGTTCGAAATTATTAAAAAAAAAAAAATGCTCTTTAAAGGGTAAAAAATACTCTTTAAAGGGAAAAAAATAACTTCAAATATCAAAATAGGCCCTGAAAAAAGAGAGAAAGAAAAAGATTATTGAAATGCAAATGTCAAAGTCGGTTCTTAGCTATGATTAATTATATTCTAAAATAAATCCCCTAAAATTTAAAAAAAAAAAAAGTTTTTCAGTTGTGTAACATCAGAAGACGATCATAAAGAAAAGAAAAGCCTAGCAACAAAAACGAAAAAAATTAAACGCGATGCCAAAATTTAAATCATAATCGTGTGACAATTATATTTACGTTTTTTGGCAATTAAATCTCATGTTTTTTTGTGTGTGTCCTCACTAAGTGGTAAAAAGAGTTTCCATAAGCTGTGAAGGATTACTTAGCATACACGTGACTTCTGAAAAAAGAACGATATATTAAATATAGAAAGCAAAAGATTATTATTTATTTCGACTTTCCCCCTCCTCACGAATGTGTGATGGCATCGTCCATGCATTCACACATCCCTGCAAAGAGTGAAAGTGGGACAAGGACAACCACTTGTAGTTATTCCTCTTTCAGCTATTCTCAATAATGAAAGGAAAAAAAAAATCATCCGTCCAAATGGCAAGTGCGATTTGTGGAAAGGGGGGGGGGGAGAACTGTTGCTTAGTTGTTTACAGATATGCTTATGCAAGCTGAGATATTAACACGGTGCGTATCGTTTTTAAAAAGTGCTTAAAGGTGCTTATTTTCGTTATTTAAGCCCTTGAAGGTGTTTTTTTTTCATTGGGTGTTTTTAAAAAGTGCTTAATTTTTCCCTTTTCGAAAATGAGATTTTTTCTTTACCATGCCGAGTTTTGCAACGTATAATGCAAAAGCGTGCTTTTAACATGTTTCTATTTAATGTTTTCACAATTCATTCAAACATAATTTAAATCTCTCGGTCATTTTATAATGGCTAATCAGGGATCTGTTTAGAAGAAATTTGGGTTCGTTAACCGACCCTTCACAAAATATCTTTTCATAAAAACTGACCCCTCAGTAAATATTTTAATTTAAATACGGACCCTTAACAAAATAATCTATCTTTTAATCGGACCCTTCACAAGAAACACTCGAAAGACAATTGCGTATTATTGTAAAAGGGCGGGAAAAATAGACTGATGCTGAGTGTTCAGTCAGCTATTATAGATATTTTCAAATCTACTGGCAATCGACGTATATTACTCTAATATTTTGTTAATTATGTTTTTTTGCTTTAATTCTAAGGCTAAGTTTGATCTCATTTCATTTATATTATGTACCTTAACCTCTTCGAAATCAAAAAAAAATTTATAAATTCCAAATGTAGTATTCTAAGAATATATTTCTACTTCTACAAACATCGTGTGTCCATTCTTATTGATATTAAATGATATTTTTTGTAAATAAATAATTGAGCCATATATTATTTATGTTTTTTTTTTAAAAAAAAACTATTATTAATTTAAGAATTGTTTAAGTTTACTTTAAGTGTAACACATTAGAAGTGATACATAACTAAGTTGTGATATTTAAAATATGTCAATTGAAATTATTAAAAATGTGAGTGATTTTGTTTCCATTATTCGTCCGAAATGAATATTCTGTGTTGTGCAGTATAGGCTTAATACCAAATAGTTGTATGTTGCATCGTTAATAGTAGCAGCAATAGCTGTTTATTTTTTTAAAATTTTTTGTTTTGTTATAATTTTACAGTGTTGAGCATAATCTTGTATCCATTTACAATTTAAAAACTCCTTGAAAAGGTTTTTTGCAATAACAGGAACCTATTCACGAAACAGAACCCTGGTTGAAAGAATGTGACTTACGCTTATTTTATAGTCACAAATTACGAGTAATTTTTTCACAATTTTGCAAAAACTGGACCTTTTACAAAATGTCTGGACAGACCCCTGCTTATATAATCAAGAGAAAGAGTTCTTTGTCAGAAACTAGTTATTTTATCATGATCATGTAAAGTCTTTGAAAATTATTTTGCATTTTATTAATGCATATAGTACTTAATAAATTTTGAGTGCTTGAAAAGTACTTAAAAGTTGCTTATTTTTTGTTCAAAGATTTGGCTACGCTACACCTTCCATTGAGGTGAACTGGGTTCGAATTCCAGCAATGGCTGATTGATACGAATTCCGCTCCCGACTCGCACTGACCACAATGCTGACGCAAAATATCCTCAGTGGTAGACGGATCGTGGGTTAGAGTCCCCTTGCTGTCGGGCTGACCGTGAGAGGTTTACAAGGTTTTCCTCTCCATTTAACGCAAATGCGGTTTAGTTCCATCAAAAAAAGTCCTCCTAGAAAGCAAATTTCTCCTAATACTTGATCCAGGAGTTCCTTTGTCTTCTGGATTGGGTTCGAAATTACAAGACTACGGAGTTGAACATGGGTGGATAGTCGTAAACCCAAAATTGGGCCAGCTGCTCAACGACGGTTATAAAATAAATGAAAATAAAAACTGAGAACAGTCATAAAAATAGCATATTATTCGCTAAAAAGGGTTACACAATGGAAAGACAGAGGCTTCGAGCAAAACACCCTTAACGTTGATCTATCATGGTGCAGATCCATTTCGCTGTAACTTCAAATAAGTGTACGTAAAACCATCGTAAAAATTGAATCATAATATCGTGTAATCAAATTTAAGATGATACGGTTCCTGTCCAAATTATTATACGCACTATAAGTAAAATTTTAACTATCAGGTGATACTATACCGAGTTATTGTTTTTACGTGACTGAAACCGGTTCGCACTTGTTTACGTGCATGTATCAATGGGTTAACAGTGTAATGCAATACGTTAAAAATAAATACATATAGGAAGTATATAAAAATCCCCCGAATAAAAATCCATTACATGTATGTTTAAATATAAAAGTATTGCCTATAAAATCGTGGAAAACATGTAATTGTTAAAAAAATTCAGTGCATCGAATAATTTGGTCTAATTATTATAATATACTAATATAATACCTGATATAATAAATATTCTGTATTTATATAGTATATCGTCTACTTTGTCCAATCGTCAAATTTATATTATATACCGTCTAATTTAACCGATTGATACACGTACGTAAACAAGTGCAAACCGGTTTCAGTCGCTTAGAAACAATAAAGCTGTATAGTATCACCTGATAATTAAGATTTTACATAGAATCTTATAGTACGTCTAATAATTTGGGGAGAGATTGTATAAGTAGGCACGGCATTAAGATTGTAACTAATTTGTACGACATGTAGTTCTAAATCAACAACACATTTCTGACTGTGTCTTAATTTGGTATCCAATAATGAGTGGGTTTTTATAATATGTTCTATATAAATGTTCTTCTTTATAAATGTTCTATATAAATGTTCTCTCATTGCAGCTGTACGAGCAGATCGAATGAGAGGAGGTAGGAACAAATTCGGACCTATGTACAAACGTGACAGAGCACGAAAGCTACAAATGATGAGACAAAAACAAATCCAGAGAGCCCAGTGTCTCGGTATCATGACCAACAACGAGGTCACCCCAGCCTTGCCTCCACCATTCGCACCCCCAGCAATGCCATCACCATCAGTCTACGACCCCCATCACATCAAACAAGAACTCATCCAAATACCCCAACTGAGCTCATCCACCAGCTCACCGGACTCATCTCCCTCTCCCCTCTGTACCTCAGCTCAGACCAACTCAACGATGGCGGCTCATTTTGCCCTGGCCGGTGGACCACCAGTCCTGTCTACCGTGCCAGAGCCAATGAAATCATGGCCTTCATCCACCAGGGCACCATCACCACCCCATCCGACTGGGTCGAATGGTGGTGCATCCTCTGGTTCACCCAAACCACCTTATCACTACGGAGACGTGAGTCCTGTACCACTTACAGTAAGAAGTCCATCACCTATTCTTATCGGAAGTGGTAAGATCCCTCACCTAATCAAAGATTTTCAGACGTCCATGCCTGACGACAAAGATTGGCAGTCTCAACTCTTTGGTCTTCTTCAAAATCAAACATACAACCAGTGTGAGGTGGATCTTTTTGAACTTATGTGTAAAGTTATTGACCAATCACTTTTTGCGCAAGTTGATTGGGCCCGCAATAGTGTCTTCTTCAAGGAACTGAAGGTAAGAATTTATTCTTGTTGTTGTTGTTTCTAATGCTACCTGCCACACTAGCAAGCCTGCTTGGTGAAACTGATCAAATTTAAGGCAGAGGGTGCGTTTCTTGTTTTTCAGTGGAGGCATCTATGGCCAAGAATTCGTCTTCAGCTACATACCCGTTTATAGGGCGGACCCATTCATACATCCATTAATTCATCCTCAGATCGTACTTTTTGACCTGGATCAGATATCAGAGAACAATCGAAGTCCAATCCAGTACCCCCAGAGGTATTGATTTGTTATATGAACATGGAGGACTTTGCGACTCGAGAGATTTAACGTGCATCAGTCACCATTTACTACACGGGGAGTCTTCGGCTGGCGGGGTTCGAACCCACGAAATCTCAAGAATTTATTCTTAAAACACTTCTTCAGATGAGGGATACTGAATTTTAAAAACAGGGGGCGTATAGTGCGACTTTCAGGAGAGCTCCTCCAGACATCCGTTTTGCGTCGTGGCGGGTGTCATGGTTACGAAAATCAATTCACTTCTCGTAGGTGAGGGGAGAATAGTTTTGTTTTGATCTTGGTATAGGTCAGCGTAAGTAAACCAATCGTCACCTTCATTTTTCCGTTGCACCATTCCATTAAATATGTGCTCTCGCTTGTTACCATAGCAGCAGACAGCCCCAGACTTTTCGTCTGGAGGAGTTCTCCTCCAAGCCGCAACTATAGCATTTTTAAAAAGTGCTTAAAGATGCTTATTTTCGATTTTTGTTTCTTAAAAGCCCTTAAAAGTGCTTTTCTCACTAGGTGTTTTTAAAAAGTGCTTAATTTTCCCTTTTCGAAAATGTGATTTTTTTCTTTCTTCACCCTGTCGATTTTCGCCACTTTTGATGCAAAATCGTGCTTTTCACATTGTTCTATTCCATGTGTTCACAATTCATTCAACCACAATCCATTTTGGCCTACCGTCGGTCTATAGCGTATGAAAGCGCTAATCATTTTACATGTTTGCTGAAATACTTGCGGGTAATATAGTTATATATAGCGGGGAAAATAGTGTTTTTTCTCAGAAACTAGTTATTTTATCATGATCATGCAATGAAAATTATTTTGCCTTTTGTTAATGCATATAGTGCTTAAAAATGTTTTTTGAGTGCTTAGAAAGTACTTAAAAGGTGCTTATTTTTTCTTGAAAGATTTGGCCATGCACCTTGACTTCCTTGTTATCAGTCTTTGCAAATTTATATTTATATTCAAAATTTAAACCACAAATTCTTTTTATTTTCACAAAACTGCGGCTTTTCTCAATATTTGACGTTTTGCGCCATTTTATGAAAATGGCATCTTCTTCGCAAAAAAGCATATTTTTTACGACGACCGAGGCTTTGAAAAACAGCCTTAATATATACATTTTATTTTTTTAAATTTTCCTTTTATTTTTATTTAAACTGACGAAAATCCGGATTTCCTAAGTAAAAGTAACATTGAGAAAACTAATATATCCGTCCTTCATTAAATGCACTCTAATTTCTTTCCTTTTTCCTTTCTTATTGCAGTGGTTAAAGGCTTAGTTACGCTTGCTTAGTTCGAGATTCGGTTTGCTAACCCATTACATTTGTGCAATCAGTTTGTTGCGTCGTAAAAACTACAAACTCTGACATGAAAATTTAGCTTACTTCAAGTTCTTTTTTTTCTTCTAAAGAACGTTACGTTTTTAAGATGTAATATTAAGCCTTCTATGATGTCGGTCATAAATTCTTTTTCGCGCTTAACTTTTATTTGTCTTGCGTTCAAAGGTTTTTGGTTTTAAAAATTAAATATCTTAAAAAGGTTCCGGTTGGGCATTAAATTGTTATTTATTTATTCGTTTATTATTTATTTTTTTATTTGGTTGAAAGAACCCAATATAATTATTTTGCAACAATTACAGTTATTTTTGTTGTAAAAAATATTGAGGAGAAATTTGCAATAAAAAGAAACTTATGTGATATTGAACGTAAGTCGTGGTGGCTCAAGGAATAGAGCACTCGCTTCCCAATGAGGTGAGGGTTCGAATCCGAGCGATTCGAATTCCGCATCCTGCTCGCATCGACCACAGTGCTGACGTAAAATATTCTCATTCGTGTTATAATGCCACTTGCCAACACCAGCAAACCTGCAATGGAATCAAGGAAATTTAAGGCTGGGGTGCATTTGTTTTTCAGTGGCGCCATCTATTGCTAAGAATGCGACTTTAGCCACACAAGACGTCATAGATCGTTTTACAGGGAGGACCATTCATTCATCTACGTATCGTAATTTTGACCTGAACCAGAGAACGATAAAATATCAAATGCAGTATCCCTAGAGGTATTGATTTGTTATAGGAACTTGGAGGACTTAGTGACCTCGACAGATTTGACGTGCATCAGTCACCATTTAGTACACGTGATTCCCAGTGGTAGGAGGATCATGGATTCGATTGTGATCCGTAAGGCTAATCGGGGGGAAATTTTCGTGGTTTATTTCTCCATGCAAGGCAAATGTTGGTTAGTTCCATCAAAAAGTCCTCTACGAAGGCAAATTTCACTCAAACCTTGATCCTGGAGTTCCCTGGTCTTCTAGATTGGGTTCAAAATTACAAGACTATGGAGTTAAACATAAGTAGACTCAAATATTCGGTCGGCAGTTTAACGACTGTTATAAATAAATATAAATACGTCTATATAAATACGCCTTTGTCTAAAAGATAACGCAATCAATTATATAACTGCTTGCACCACTATATAAGATTAGCTAGATATCCTGATGTCTAACTCTTAGTTAAAGAGTTACAAAATGGTTTCAAAGTTGTCCGAAACAGCAGGGTCGCGAAATACTAAGATAATGGAACGGTTACCACATTTGGCGAAGTTTCTCCACAATTTTTTTTCTTTCTCTGTGTTCTGAAGTTATAGCTTTCGCAGTGATTTTTATTGTTATTTTAATTTCTTTCTTTAATATCATGTGATGTTTAAATCAAAGATATGTTAAAAATGAAACTAAAATAAATAGCATTTTCATTAAAAGAGCAAATTATTGACAAGGTTACAAAAATTAAATTGGTGAAAGTATTTTTTTATTTTATTATTTTTATTAACATATTTTTTATCACTTAAATAAATATTTTTGTCTTAAATAAATAAGCTTTTTATTTTATTCCTTTTTTCGTTCACTAATAGAATCTCGATAGATGAATGTTTGTGTCCATGGAATTAAAATTTCAAACACTTTGCGACTAGCTTGAGCACTCAATAGAGTAAAGCTCCATATCCGATGTCAATGCAAGATTGAATCATATTTTGGCATTAGCAGAACTTATTACGATATTACTGTCAAAGAGGCAATCAACATTTTCCGACAGTTTTAGACTGGCTAGAGCACTCAAATTTAAAGTAACACTTAGTGCGAAATTTCAATATGATTTGCAATCATTTCACGGCGGTTACCAAAATTATTTCCAAACGGAACTTGTCATTTGCGACCACTTTCTGATTAACTAGAGTGCTCATGTTATGAGAGACCTTCAGTGCCTGACGACTAAGTAAGTTTCAATCCTTCCCAAAACAATCAGAATTAATCACCGTATTATCGCCGTTAATCACCATTAATAAGTTAACTGAATGAATCACTGTATTATCGCCGTTAATCACCATTAATAAGTTAACTGAATTAATCACCGTACTATCGCCATTAATCACCATTAATAAGTTTACAGATTGCTGGTAAAAGTGTTGTCCACTTTCCGAAAAACTGAAGTGTTTAAACCTAGATCCGAGCCTGATTATAAATTAAATAATAATTATTTCCTGATAACTTTGTCAGAAGCAAAATTTTTTTATTTACTGCATGGCTTGTCACTGCGTTTTCAGAATTTAAAAAAAAAATTGAATTTCTTCAACATAAGGAACGAAAGCTTTAAAGAACTACAGAAAAATCTTAATTTTACGACTATTTTTGTTTTGTTTTAATAGTTCATGATTTATTGGTACAGTTATTTATTTTCTTCGTGGTATTTGTTATCGCCTATTTGTGTGGTATTTTAATTCTAATTATACCTTACCAAAAACTATAAACAAAACTTAAACATTCCAGATTAGTCGCTTAAGGCCATTTTCATCTTTTATCATGCTCGTTGATTATACAACCACAAGATTTAAGATTTGCGCTTCAGATTGGAGGAAAATCATTAATATATAATCCAATCCGTCATCTTCTATCATTTTGACTTTAATGAAATTTATTTTTCTTGTTTTTTTTCTTTCAAGTTTGGCTCTTTACTAACTTAGAGTAAAGAAATTCTCCTCCCAGAGATTGCGGTTTTGTAGGGTTTTTCGTTATTAGTGTATCTTTGATGTTTATTATTTATTTATTTATTTTTAGTTCTTTTAAAGGGGGATAACTCGGAGTGCCATGATTTCTACAAATTCTAAAAGAACTTTTATCAAGCATTGCACCTCTCTTCTCTTCTAAAGCTGCATTTTTTTTTCTTTCTTAAATTCAGCATTGACCTAGCTTTAAATTAGAAGCAACCGTATCTTCTGTGCGTCTTCGTTTTTTTTTTCTCTTTAAAAAAGAAATAAAAATAAAATAAACGATAAAATTATACCTTACCAAAATTTAGGAAGAACTTTTCATAAGAATTGTTATCGCTTGCAATAATTACATTTTCAAACGATTTTTTTTTTCTTTTTAAAAAAACTGTTAAAATTTCTACAAATTTAAGAAATTAAGAAAAAAAAAAGAAGAAAAAAAAGGTATCATTGTAATAAAACTTACCATCTCACAGGATTTTATTTTAAGAGACAAATATTTCAAACTGTGCGTTTTATATATTTTCTACAAATTAAAGAAGAACAGTCAAAATAAACGATACAACTGTTGTTGAACAGAAAGTAGTATTACCACACACTGGCAAAGCAAGCGGTAAGAAAGAAGCATACAGGCGACAAATTCCTATAGTTATTTCCTTAGGATGCTCAGAGGCGATGTGCGCATGC